AATTCTCTCCACCTGCTTTTTAAAAATAAAATTATAAAAATATTAAATACATATACACAGATATAACATCATGAAAAGGTCAAAATGAGTAGCCTCAAAGAAAACTAGGATCATTTTTGTTGCTGTTGGTTGTTCTTAATTTTAAAAAATTTGAACCAGACACCTGTGGGTCATGCCTATAATCCTAGCTACTCAGGAGGCTGAGATCTGAAGATCTTAGTTCAAAAGCCAGCTAGCTCAAGGAGGAAAGCCCGTGAAACTTTCCAATTAACCAGCAAAACGAGAAATGGAAGTGTGGTGCAGGTGGTAAAACATCAGCCTTCAACAAAAACAACTAAGATACTGCACCCAGACCCTGAGTTCAAACCCTCATGCCGGCACACACAGCGAAGAAATCTCACACAGTGCTGCATGCCCGTAACTCTAATAGTCCAGACGCTGCCTCAAACCTCACACATTTAGAGAACCTGGGACAGCAGGGCTTGGAGAGGAAGGGAGAACTGTGTGAAGAAGAAATATGCAAACCCTGTTCTGAAAAGAAATGCAGGTGCATTATGTAATGGCCTCAGACCCAAATCAATCACAGAAGCTTTTTTTTTTCCTGGTCCATTTGTATCATGAGCTTTGGTAGAAGATTTCATCTGAACAATGCCCATGATTTTAGTCTGAAAACCGCTAAGAATTTACCAATAATAACACTTATTGACATAAACACCTAATACACAAATGTACGAAGAAACACTGAGAAATATTCTTCCATTTCCTTTTGAATGGTACAATATTCTTTCTGATGAGCAAATTCCATGTGTATATATCAAATTTTCTTGGTCCATTCATCCACTGAGGGGCCTCTGGGTTGATTCCGTATCTTGGCTATGGTAAACAGTGCTGCAATGAACATGGTTGTGCTGGTGGCTTTCGTGGCCCAGTCTGTGGTCTATGAATAAATACCCAGGAGTGGGACTGCTGGGTCACAGGGGAGCTGTATGTATAGTCTTGAGGAACCTCCATACTGATGTCCACAGTGGTTGAACCAGTTTACATTCCCACCAACAATTTGACTACGTCCCTGCCAGCACCTGCTAGTTTTCTTGATCATGGCCATTCTAACTGGGGTGAGCATGTATACCACTCAAAGACTTGAAAAAAATTGTATTAAGTGAAGTAAGCCAGACCCAGAGAAATGTAGGCTTCATGATTTTTTCATTTGTGGTGGCTAGAATAGGCCTATAAATCTACAAGTAAACACAATGGATGGTTCAAAAAAATACAATGGGACATGACAAACTATCCAGCTCTCTAGGCATACACTCACACACAGTGAGACCAAAGGAGGGTGTTCTTAGGAGAGGAACACAAAGGCACAATAGCTATGTGCATCTGATCATATAAAATAATATTTATTGAAACGAGCTCCAGGAAATGGAAACAAGGTTACCTTTTTGGTTTTCCTTCCTTTTTGTCTTGTTTATCTGTCGTTGGGAGAGTAAGGGAGGACACAAATGTGGGACAAAGGGTGAACAAATGCAGCCTGTACTCACTGGACACTGTGGAAAATGAACTATAAAACTTGTGGGTGGGGACGGGAGAGAGCAAGGGGAGGAGTGAAATGTACTTTTTATCTGACTGATGTGCTACCCGAAACCCCTCTGTAGATCACCTTTATAGTAACAATAAAATGCATGAAAGTAACTAGCACACATTCGTTGTACAAATGGGTTTCGCAGTGCCATTCCCATTATGTACAGAAAATACTGTGGTCAAACTCACTCCCTCTACTGCTTTCTCTCCCCTCCTAAAACAATTTCAACAGGTTTTATCACGTTATTCCCTGAGAGTCTCAAGTACGTCAATCGTGCCCACCCTTGTTTACCCTCTCCCATCCTCTTCCTCTCTTATCTCTGTTACTCGCCTGTCATTCTTTTTGGAGAAGTTTTTTAAAGTGGTAAGAATAAAACTAGGGGAGACAATAGAGGTTAAGAGAGGTGGGTATTTTTAGTCTGGTATCAGTATGTATAAAAAGAAATAGGTCACAATGAAACCTATTTCTCTATGCAATAAACACCAATGTTTTTAAATGCTGGATGCTAGCTGCACGTGCATGTAATCCTAGCTACTCAAGAGGCTGAGATCTAGAGGATCATAGTTTGTGGGAGACCACATCTCCAAAATAAGCAAAGAAGGCTGGACTGGGAGCACCACGAGTGGAAGAGTGCCAGTCCAGGAAGCAAGAAGAACTAGGCTACAGGCCCTAATTCAATATGATGTTAGTCAGTACGAATTTGGCAAGATTGTTAGCCAGTTGCTTTCTCTTTATAAGTAAGTTTATGTTATTTTTGCTCCTGGTCAGTTTCATTGAGCTACTGTTTGTTTATGGAAGACATTCAAGTTAGGCTTTTTCAATTGGCTTTGGCAGAAAGACAGCAGATGATTTCATCAGGGAATCAGCTGTGAACCCAAAGCAAACAGATCTGGTGGGGGACATATGGCCATGCTGAAAGAGGCCATGGTTATCACTAGGTGTGTTTGTTTAGGTGGGTGAGAAAAAGCCCATATAATCGCACCAGGACAGGAATCTACCTAGCCTGATGTGAACTGAACTGAACCATCCTTCCTAAGTACACTTTTTGTTTTGTTTTAGTCAGTTGTGGGGGCTGAACTAAGGGCCTGGGTGCTGTCTCTGAGTTTTCTTTTGCTCAAAGCAAGCGCTCCACCACTTGAGCCATAGCAACACTTTAGCTTTTTCTGGGTAGTTTATTGGAGATGATAGCTTCATGGACTTTCCTTCCCAGGTAGGCTTCTACCCGCGATCCTCAGATCTCAGCCTCCTGAACAGCTGGGATGACAGGTGGGAGCTGCCGGAGTCCAGCAAGGACACTTCTTAATATCCACGTCCTCCATGCTGCTAGTTTCAGGCCAAGGCCAATTAACAGCATCAAAAGTCAGAAAGGGCTGTTTTATAAGTGTCAGTTCCTAAATAAACCAGATTGTCCACATTAACTACTTAAATGTCTAGCCCTCTACAGAACTGGAAGCTTCTTTGCGAGTGAGGTGGCTGGTGATGACAGACGGCTAACACGGCCGTCTTAGAAGAGTGCTATTTTCTTTCTACGACAAAACGTTTCCTCATCAAGTGAAAAACAGGGAGCATTTCATACTTGCAAATTCTGTGTAATGTTGAACACTCTTTTTTAATGCTTACTAAACTCTATAACAGAAATGTAATAGAATCTACATTAAAACAATTTCAAAAGATCAAGATGTGATCAGAAGAAAAACATCTTACTAACATTTGATTATGAAAGCAAACTATATGGCTACTATGATAAAAGCAATTTTTATTTGGTTAAAAAATAACACAATAAGCAATAATTTGAACTACGATAGCATTTAGTCTTAAATTTCACTAGCTACTCTTCTGAAGGCTCAGAAATAAAATAACGGTCGTTTCTTCCAAACACATGAAGATAAGTGTCATCACACAAAATAGGTTAACTGTTCTATTAAACAAGATACAGAGAACTGTGATTAATTTCTATCCTCTGGCAAAATTATGACTGGTGAAACTGATTATATAATTTTATCACAGATAAGAGGGCTAATAAAATATACAGTAATTTTCAAGAAAAGTACAGTGATTTAAAAATTATCTACATGAGACCAAACTTCCCCTATGCTGTTTTCTGTACTGAGAGACAAACTAGAACACATTTCAGTAATTTCCTTCCTCAAAGGGAAAAAAGGGTGAACCAATTCAGCAGTGGTACTCACTTCACCCAAAGTTGGAAATGAACTATACACAACTTGGGGGGAAGGGGCAGGGAAAAAACTGGGAGAAAATGAGGGAAAGGGTGACACTGTTCAAAAGAAATGTACGCAATACCTGACTTACATAACTGTGACCCTTCTGTCCCTCACTTTTACAATAAAAAAAGATAACTATCAGAACAAGTTACTATGGACCCCCATTTCCTCAAAAGAAAATCTGATATAACACATATACAGGTACAATAACATAAGAGCTTCTTCAAGATCCCAAAATGCCTTCTTGCTCTAAAATCCGTATTTAAAATAGACATACACAAGCTAGATGCTTCAATCCATTTTGAAATAAGGCAAAATGTAAATATAATTTAATGTTACAGGTTTTTGAAATTCTATACCTTTGATAAAGTATCAAACTTTCATCTCATAACACATTTATATCCTTAAAACCACTAAATATACAGTGTGAACAAAATACTATTTTTATTGCTTTTATATATAACCTTTACTGACTATAAAACCTCTTCAAACAAATACTATACATTAGTGCATTTCTGTTTCTACTTCAGAAACCAATACAAAAGGAAACTTAACCTTGGAACATGTTGAGCTTTAAGCTTTGAGATTCTTAATTATTTCTAAACATCCTGCTAAACACGCAATGTCAAAAGAGGCAATTCATAGCTTCTACCACATGAGGGCAACCCTCGCATCTTCCAACAACTCCTAAAGTCAAGTCAAGTGTGTGTTTTCCTAGGAAGCAGACTATCCCCTGGGAAGTTCCTGGGCTCAGTGAAGCTGATTGAAAAAGGATTTTCAGCAAATGTGTTTCCTCATAAAAAGTAAAGTAATAGGCATGGGACAGGGTGCTTTTAAGTCCCAGTTACTGGGGGGCAGGGAGGGGATTGATGCCAGCCTGTACAACATAGAAATGTCTACAAAAATTAAAGGGAGCATAATAATAAATGTGTGTGATTTCTAGCCACTCTGTCTCTTCTAGGCTTCACATCCCAGCAACAACAGTTGAGTTTCTAGAGCAGAATAGAACAAAACTAATCAACTTCAAATGAGAAGATAAAGAAATCACTGGATTATTTACTACCCACAAATGTTCACATTTTCATATTGTCAACAAAGTTCAAGAATTATACCCAATACATGTGTGATTTAAAACCGGAGAGCACAGTTCTGCCTTAAGGTGTGCATGGCACTTCAGGACCGCACGGACGCCTCACCTGCCTCCTGTGAGTTCAGCACTTCTAAGGCATGCATCATAGCACTTGCGAAGACATTGGCATCCTCCTTGCTGCCAAAGTTAAGGCCGTACACCTGCCTGGCATCCCTCCACTGGTGGAAGGTCTGCGTCGCCTGATTATACTTCAGCCCTTTGGGGATGGCGCAGTTGATCACCACCTACAAGGCAATGGTAACCGTTATGCGTTTTCTTACGACTCTCAGCACCCCATGTTCACCTTTCTGTCTGAAGAAAAGGTGCCCTATCTTCCTTCAAGCAGTCCCCTCCGGAACTCTGGAGTCAGGCTCATCTTGGTGGACTTGCTCTCTGCTGCATTATTTTCTGTCTCACCGTTTCACCTGACCATCACTGACTATTATTCTAATTGTTTCTTTTTTTTTTCAGGTGGTGCTGAGCTTTGAACCAGTCTTGCATTCACTGGGAAGGTGCTCTAGTGCTTGAGCCACATCTCCAGCTCTTTTCTGCCTTGTCTGAATATGAAACTTGAGCCTTCAGACCTCAGCCTCTTCGGTAGCTAGTGTTACAGGCACAGTTACTGGCAAACGGCTATTGTACTTTCTTGGGATGAATGGCTGACTCAAAATCAGTATTACTGATTTTCTTTGCTACACATTTAAGTCTTTACTTCTCATTTAGTGCTACTTTACCTGCATTCCATTGGAACCGATACTAGTGTTCAGCTCAACAGTTTTTTAATTTCAGTCTTGCTTGATTCACAGGTTTTTCTTTTTTTTTTTCTGGTGCAACTTTTTAAAAGCATTTAATTTACTGAAACACTCCTGTTTACATAGTTTTGCTTATACTGTTTTGCTCTGTACTGACACATAAAGTTTTTTACATTATTTTCGGGCAGGGGTTGTGGTAAGATTTTTCTTTTGTGTTTGTAGTCATATTATCATTTAGCGTTTGTCTCCCTACCACGGAAAAGAGATTTTGGTTATTCATTGAAGTATTTAATTTCTACTCCTACATGGTCCTCTATCTTATTTCCAAATTAATTCTGCAGGAACTAGAAACCATGACGTGCTTCTAACCCTTTGAAATGTGTTGACACTCAATTATGAAATATGTGACACCTACGTCTGGAAGTATGACCAGGGATATCAACCCAGTTAAGTTAGACGTGCACCTGATGCCTGTCACAGTCACCAAGACACATGGCTCACAACTGCTATCTTAGCTATTCAGGAGTCTGAGAAATGGAAGATCCAAGTCCAAATGACTTTTTATGTCCAAAAAGCCTGGCTGGAGGTGTGGCTTAAGTGGTAGAATGCCAAACAAGCAAGCAGGAAGCCCTCGGTTCAAATCTAGTTTTCAAGGAGAACCTTCATCATGACTCATGAATTATGCCTGTTGTCACGTGGTGGAGCGGGTCTCACTGAGAAGTCAGGCTGGCCTGGGCTCTGATCCCCACTCCTGAGTGCTGGGATTATGTGACAGGGGAATACAGTCCATCTGGCATTTCCACATTCTCTTTACTGAACATATTTTAGTAACCATCCATTACTTATACCTGCCCCGTGTCCTCTCAATAACGTATTTTTTGCCTTACAAACTACTTTGTATAACAGCAGCTCTTTCTCAGCTAGGAGCTTTCTAGTTTGTCTTTTTTTTATTCATGTGTTTACTTTTTGTGCTCATACTGGAGCTTGAACTCGGGTCTGGGCACTGTCTCTGAGGATTTTTGCTCAAGGCTAGTGCTTTACGACTTGAGCCACAGCTCTACCGCTGGCAGGTGGTTAACTAGAGATTAATGAGTTTCATGGATTTTACTATATGGTCTGGTTCAAACCACGATCCTCAGATCAGAGCAGACTGGAATAGGTAGAGTAGCTGGGATTGCAGGCATAAGCCACCAGCTCTTTTAAATTTAACATTTCCTGTAGTCTTATCTTTCAATATGAATGTTAACAGAATACTTTTTAAATTGTTTATCCAACCTTCTACTTTCTGCTTTGAGTTTTCAATCAAGTTACGTTTAATGTAAACTAAACATAATTTTGGACCTCAATCTGCCATCTACTTGCTTCTATTGACCAGACTATTGCATGTCTGTTTCTCTTCTTTTTCTTTTATTATGACCTCCACTAGCCTATTAGTTATATTTTTCACTGTTGTTTTAGTAGCTGCCCTAGAGATTACAGCAGACATCTTAAACCCATCTCCAAATAAAAATTAATACCTTTATTTTTTTCAACAATACAGGCCTTCACAAGGGCGTCCTCCAATAATACCCCCTCTGGCAAGTCAACCCTTCAGATTCTACACTACGTTTTAGCAGATATTTTAAATCAAGTATATTTTACGCCCTGTGACTGTGAAATGTGAATATTAATTTCATATTGCCAATGACCATTTAAGATTTACCCATAACAATGTTTTTTTTGGGGGGGAGAGAGGTTGATACTGGACTTTGAACTCAGTCTTGTGTGTGCTACTAATCCTCTTTTTATGCACAGCTTTGTCTTTCTCACACATCTTAGCTTCAGTCTGAATTATTTCTTCTGACCTACAACCTAGCTCACCAGTACTCCTTTAATGTGCATTTCTTTGGCAGTACTGCAGTTGAACTTCTCTACTTTTTAGGTCGGCAGACACTCTACCTCTTGTCCTTTTGACGTGAGCTCTGTTTTCAGACTCAGTCTCACCTCGATCTTTCTAACTCCATCTTCTGAGTACTGTGCCACCAAGCCAGCTCACTGGTTCTTTTTAACTATTTCTGAATGTTCACATCCTCCTATCACTGAGCTGTTAAGAGAAGGCACTACTGGTAACTCAGGAGCTGGATTCCTCAGTGAGTCTGCTCTAACGCTGTCCACTTTGCCTCTGTTTATACCGGTTATTTTGTTTGTCAGACATCATGTATGGTCAACTGTATGGAAATTTTGAGGCCTCAAATGATGTTAAAATTTCTACCAGTAAGACATTCACTTCTGGCAAGCAGCTCGGGAAACGAACAAATTCCAATTACCTCAACTCAAACAGTGATTAAAACAATTAGAGCCTGGGATTCTGCTCCTGTGAAGGCCAGTCTAATTCTCAGTCAATTTCCCCTTTGGTATAGAGATTACTAAAACTAATACTCCTGCTTTGTTACCAGGCCAGAAACTGTACCATTTTCTAATATGGATCCTACATCTGAAACCCCCCAGAACTGCTCAGCTTTTCAATGCAACTTAACATGCCTCTCAGGTAAAAGGCAAACAGATTCAGAACTAGAGTTACCTCTCTGGTTCTTCTTTTTGAGGGGGGGATCTGTACAGGGGCTTGAATTCAGGGCCTTATGCTAAGATGGCATGCTACCATTTGCCACACGTCTAGCCTGGTTTTGCTGGTTGTGTTCAAGACCGGGCCTCTAACTTTTCTGTCTGGGCAGACCCCGACTGTGGGCCTTCTGCTCTCATCCTCCAGAACAGCCAGGGTTACAGGCATCAGCCACTGGCACTCCCTTTCCAGTTCTTGAGTCCCTCGGGCGACAGACTGATAATTTAAGCTCTCCAGATATTTCCTCTTCTTTTTATATTCTGTGCAATTATTGTAGTCTCAGATAGAGGCTTTACCAAAATCACCTACCAATACTGAAATATAAACTTGAGAATTACATTATTAAGTAAAAAGGCTGGACATCTGTGTCCATTTTATCACAGCTATCATGTGATTCTTCTTACATACCTAAAATTCAGAGAAACGAGAAAAGTGGTGAATGGGGAAGGGATGAAATGGGGAATTATTCTACTTCCTAAAGGAAGTAGAGACCCATTCTGAGCACCTGAGGGAGGTGAGCTGGTATTGACAATTGCACAGTACTGTGACTGTATTTAGTGTCACTGAACTGTTCACTTAACAATAAGTAAAATGGTGAATTTTAGACTACATATTTCACAATAAAAATATAATGACCACTTAGTTTTTTTCTATAAATATTGAGGTGAGGCCACAAAACTCTAGCTACTAGTTATCACTATTACAAATTCCATTCTGGGACAGATTTATATGCTTACTTGGCAAATAGCCTAAAAGTGGTAACCAAGAAAAGGAGGAGTTACATTGAGTTTATGCTTTTCCACAACATTTTCTCTTGAGAAAACACTAGAATCAAACTTAGCAAAGAGCTCTTTTTTTTTTTCTGCCTCATGCTTACCATCTTACTCAGAAGGTTAAGAGCTGAGGATCACAATTCAAAGTCAGAGGAATCCTCGAGACCCTGCCTCCCATTAGCCAGTAACGGAAGACTGCGATCAAGGCCTAAGCAGCAGAGCACCAGCAGCAAATGAAAAGGCCAAGTTGAGCGGACGCTGAGTTCGTGCCCTGGCAGTAGAATCCGTACTTAGAAGTCAGTATCCTAGTCGCCTCAACTTTAAGAACAGAACACTACAAACAACTTCCAAAAGCAAGGAGGAGTGAGGTGCTAGTGGCTCATGCCTGTAATCCTAACTACTCAGGAGGCTGACACATCAGAGGAACGATTTCAAAACCAGCCCAGCCAGAAAAGACGCTTATGTTTGATTAACCTCAAAAGCCAGAAGAGGAGCTGTGGCTCAAGTGATAGAACACTAACCTTGAGCAAAAAAACTCAGTGGCCAAGCCCTGAGTTCAAGGCCTAGGACCAGCACCCAAAAGAAGTAAGGAGCAAGTGTATGTTTTCATTACTGGATATCCTCTAAAGTGTGCTGTCAAAGTGTAGACCCACAGGCTGTGGCAGCAAATCTGGCGAGCAAGCCCGAGTTCTGGTGTGGTGTGTTCTAACACAGACGCACCCTAATGCAGCAAACATCTACTCTCCTATACCCTTCCTCAGTGCCAGCCTTGTCTGTGAAATCACCCATGACTTCTCCTAGGTTGTGATTCTTGAATGCTCAAGCTTTCATTAAAGCTTCTGTTATAAAAATTAACATATATTATTAACTAAACTGATACAAGTGCTAATTCCTAAATATGTGAAGTCAAAACTATATTTTCTGCTTATTGCTAGTTATATATAAATGTTACTGGTTTTTAACTATTGATTTCTAGCAACCTTACTAGTTTTCATCTTTAAAGATACTGGAATATGTTTTGATGTGGACAAAATTACATCGCTGGTGAATAAGAACAACAATTTCTTCCTTTTCAATCGTTAGAGCTTCTATTTATTTTATTTTATTTGTTGGTTGTGGGGCCTAAGGTCTGGGCCTGGGCGCTGTCCCTCAGCTCTTCAGCTCAAGGCTAGCGCTCTGTCACTTGAGCCACAGTACCACTTCCAGCTTTCTGTTTGTGGTACTGTGGAATCGAACCCAGGGCCTCGTGCATGGGAGGCAAGCACTCTACCACTGAGCCACCTTTGTTAGCTAGAATGTACTCAGCAACACTAATGAATTTGATTAAAGTAGAAATCCTCAACTTTTACAAGATTAATAAAAATCTGACACTATCATTCAGTGAAGTATCTGCTTTAAGTTTGTACTATCCACCTTTAGCAGCTTAAGAAAATTCATTTTTATGCCTGATGTGCTGTAAATGACTATGGAATGGTTTGAATTTTATCAAGCTATTCCTGATTCTCTTGTCTCCTGTTTGTTTGCTGCTGGTCACACTACCAGTTATGTAATGGTAAACACTCCTGAAAAGAGACATGGATTCTATATTGCTGCATTTGGTCTATAAAGGTTACCAAGGGCTTCTGCATCTGTATGTACGTTCATAATCGAGACTGGCATGTAATTCTCCTCTCTCTAACTGCTCTTCTTCTGTTTTAGATATCAAAATTATACTAGCCGTGTGAAACACTACTCTCTACAACAATATGCATCATGTGGCGAGTCTCTTGAAGCCTACAAGTCTCATTTGCAAATGCTTTGCACTCCCAGGCATCCTTTTAAGTTAGGGGGTACATGTTTTTATCTTATGTTGTAGTCTACTTCTCTTTATACTCTTCCATTTCTGGCTGGTCCTGGGGGCTTGCGCTCAGGGCCTGAGCGCTGTCCCTGAGCCTCTCTGTGCTCTACCACTTAAGCCACAGCACCACTTCCTGCTTTACCTGACTCATTTATTGGGGATGAGTCTCACAGACTATGTGAGAGGGGCTGGCTTTGTAGAACTGTGATCCTCAGGTCTCAGCCTCCTGATGGGGTAGGATTATAGGCAGGAGCCACTGGTGCCTTGCTTATATTCTTCTGTGTTAGAAAATTATGGTTTTCTACAAAATGGCCCACTTTCAGCATTTTTTTAATAACATTCCTTTTTATTTTCTTCCTACAATGACAGTCATTTTTGTGTTTTTGTTGTTGGTCATGGGGCTTGAACTCTGGGCCTGGGCACTGTCCCTGAATTCTTCAGCTCAAGGCTAGCGCTCTACAACTTGAGCCACAGCGACACTTCCGGTTTTGTGGTGGTTTATTGGAGATAAGAGTCTCACAGACTTTCCTGCCCGGGCTGGCTTCGAACCATGATCCTCAGATCTCAGCCTCCTGAGTAGCTAGGATGACAGGTGTGAGCCACTGGCACCCAGCAATGACAGTTATTTTTTATTCCTACTATTATTTTTTCACTTTTTAAAAAATCCTGCCAGTCTGTCTAGTGTGTTTTCCATTTCTTTTTGGGTATTTTCTTCTTGGGGTAAGTTCGTTACTCCCCCTTCTATCCCCCAGAACGTGCCAGTAAATCTGTCCTCAGGGCAAGCTCTAAGAACATCTTAGTTGACTTACAGGCTATTTTTCCTTTGTGCTTGTACTGGTGCTCTATCAATTGAGATATACCTCTAGTTTCAGCTTTTGGATGGTTAACTGGAGATAAGTCTGGTGGATTTGTCTGCCTGGGCTAGTTTCAAACTTCAATGTTCACATCTCAGACTGCCGAGCAGCTAGAATTACAGGATGTTCAACAATTTCTATCACCCAGTTTTATTTTGCTCTCTGTAATAATATCTTAAGGGATAACTCATTTGTCTCTTGCCTAACTCCCAACTGGTGCACCCTGCTGGAGATGGATGAAAAGAAAGCTCACAGCATAATCCAACTGTCTGCAGACCAGGGTACAGAGCTGTGGTAGAGAGGCTGAGGAGAGAGCAGAGGCAGGAAGCACAAAGCAGTGGGGAAGGAGGAAGGCTAGCGTCAGAGAGGGGTACCGAGGAGGCAGAGAAAAGGGCCAGGCTGAGACCGTTTCCATTAAATCAATCAACTTGATATTTTCAGCGAATTGTTTTCTGTAGACTGACTTCAAAGCTGTCCATTTCTCTCCAGAGGCGTTGCATTTATTTTTACCAGGTGTCCCCAGAGAGTCACTGGCCTGCCACTAGTGTTGTTGATAATTTCTTGGCTAGTGTTGTAGTTTCCATTTCTTGAGAAAGCTCCTAAACCAGCTCAGACAGAAACTGTTCTTTGCCTCCCTGTCCTGAGAAGGTCTTCTGTAGTTCTCTCTAACTCAGTGCTACTAGGATGCCTAAGTTTCTGCAGTTACCCATTTCCCAGCTCAATCTCTCGCTAAGCTGTAGTTCATACATGTAATCTAAGCCCCTGGCTATTGCAGTCCCATACTCTCCATTCTAAAACGTGGTTAATGCAGCATCGGTTTCACATTATCCACCCATCACATGTCCTAGAAGCCTAGGGATGGCCTTTCTCTAGCTTGAACACTGAGAACAAAACCTGGTAAGATTTCCCTTGAATTTTGTCAGAGGGACTTTAACATTGGCTGATTCTAACATCTTTGGAAATTTTTTCCCCCAAAAGTATGATGTATGGCTTGGAGTACGGCTCACGTAGCAGAACACCACCGTAGCAAGTTCATCAAATGTCAGTAACAAAATAAAAATACGTAACACATAAGCATAGTTCATAAAAGTTTTTGCTCCTATTATCTGATAGTGCTAACAAGACCCTATGTACCTTTTCTTTGCTCTATTGCTTCTGATTTGTTACAAACCAAGAACCAAAATACATCAGGTTACTTTATTGGAAATGTAGAGAATTAGAAAAAGCTTAGTGATCCATCTTAGACATAATCAGCAATTTTAATTCTTATCATGTATGAGCTTAACACTATTTCCTGAAACTACTTACCCTTTTCATTCCTTTTTCTAGCCTCATAACCCACTCTTCTGGCAGAAAACGGACCTCATAAACACAGTCTGCTCCTTAAATACTATTGCATTACTTTTTTATCCTTAGATTGCAACAACTGGCTAACTGCAAGGGCAGATGATCTAGAAGATTCATAGAGAAACACAAATTTTTGCACAGTTAGATTATCACTCTTCATCTAAACTCAAGCTTCCTAAGCAGCAGAATGAGTGGGCAGGCAAACCTATGTTCAATTTTTCCCAGAGAGATTATTTTGAAGCACTACTTTATTTTAATGATATACCAATTACTTCAAACAACAACATCTGTGAGTACTTACCTGATGGTCCTGGATCTTCCTGCCCACCACTCTGAATGTGTTGTTGCCTGTATGGTGATAGATATGAACTCTGCTGAACCCAGTTGAGCCACCAGCTGGCACCCACTTCTTATTGGCATCATCATAAACCATCACAGCAGCTCTTGCCTGACAGATACTCTGTTCACTGTTTAAAAAAAAAAAGAATAAAATAAAATGTTCAAAGTTAAAGTCTTTAAAATATGCTGGATACCCCTCGCAGCCATGTAAACCATGGTTCATTAACCTTGTAGCCCTTGAGTAAGCGTCTAAAGGAAAGACGAACAGTACAGCGTGGTAAGGGTCCAAAATGAGATGAGAATCCACAGAATAGCATGTAGACAAACACAGAATTTTTTTTCCTTTCATGTAGTTAATTTAGTCATTAAATGGAATACAAGTATCAATCATCATTTAAGTGTGCATATGCTTTTTATACTGATGACGGATTACCCTTTATGGACAAATTTCCATTCCTTAAGACATGGGAATTAGTACTTAGTAGGGCTTGATGTCACTACGACTAAAACCTTGAGTCTCTTTGGTCAAAGTAATATACTATGCTTCAACATTTTTTTTTCATTTAAAAGTACAAAAGTAAAAAAGACTTAAGGAGTCTAGATTTCAAAATCTAACCTGAATAAAGAAAAGGCAATTCCATGACAGAATTACTGTCTTAGTTTCACTGTCTCAATGATCAGAGAGAGAGAGAGAGAAACTCTAATCCATATAAAGTAATAGGTTCATCTTTCCAGCATTCTGTAACACCCCTGGATGAAAAACTTGACTCAAATTTTATCTTGTTCTACACCATTAAAAAAAAAAAAAATCATGCCAGGCGCTGGTGGCTCACACCTGTAATCCTAGCTACTGAGGAGGCTGAGATCTGAGAATCTCGGTTCAAAGCCAGCTTGGGCGGGAAACCCTGTGAGACTCTTATCTCCAATAAACCACTAGAAAACCGGAAGTGGAGTTGTGGCTCAAGCTGTAGCTGAGCTCACCTTGAGCTGAAGAAGAGCTGAGGGATAGTGCCCAGGCCCAGAGTTCAAGCCCCATGACCAACTAAAAAAAAAAAAAAATCAAATTCTGATGTGCACCAAAAGTGATCATCAGAAATAGGTCCATCAACTCTGTTGGCTATCAGCCAATTCTCACCCAGAAAAGTCTTGTGGTGCTCGCAAGTGCTGGGCGAGAGGCAAGCAGCTCTGCAACTGCAGGTGTAAGCAATACCTTCTATGTGGTTCTTCCCAAGCAGAGACACAAGGTCACCCTCAGGCCCCGCCGCCACCTCCCCCCAAGTACAACCTAAATGCAATTCTGAGAGGGGGTTTATGGTGAAGTCTCACCCAGATGTGAAGGCAAGATCAAGAGGTCACTGAGCAATGAGGTTATCACTGCACATCATTTTTTTAGGAAAGGTTAACAAAAACAAACATAACAGTATTGATGTAGCAATCCCAATGGGGCATCATTTTTATGCTCACCTGACAGTTTTTACTAAAACATTTCTGGAAATAGAAACAAGACAATGTGACTAAAGCCTGAATTACTTTTAAAGGATCAATTAAAAGGTACTTGTCAGCATAAAAGTTAAAATCTCTTCCTTCACTCACGAGAAATAGCTGCTGAGTGATATATAACTATAAAAAGATTACATTAGACAAGTTAAGGTACTTTATACTGCTTATAATTTAACAAATTTACCAAGCTTTGGAAAAAATTTAATCAGTAAACTTACAGGGCTAGAGACATGCCTCAAGTGTTAGATCTCCTGCTTAGCATGATCATAAAATAAATATAATTTTTAAAACCCTATAAATTAATGCAGAACATTTTCTAGATTCCAAAAATTAGTATTTGGGGGGGCCTACATTTGGCTTCCGAAAACCCAAGCAATATTTTCTTTTCAGTAAGTCATAGGTCAAGCTGTGCATTAAAAAAGTTTCTAGGGGGATGGGAAGGGGAAACAGAGGAGGAGGCTACAAAGCTTGATAAGAAATGTACTCATTATCTTGCCCATGTAATTGTAACCCCTCTGTACAGTTTTTTCACAATAAAAATAAAATAAAATTTAAAAAAAGACATGCTACTCCAAAAAGTCTTCCTTCATCATCCCCATAGCTACATGAAGACAAACTAAATATTAAAATAAAACATGGGTAGTTTAACAGCACTAACTAGTGCCAAATCAAAAGGTTATAAATCTAATAATACAAATAACTGTGGGCCAAAAAATATTCAGAAAGAAAAACCCTGCAGCTATACTCAGCATTTGCTGGACATAGACAGCTTTTCTCCTGTCATTATTCCCTAATAATACATGTTTACATTGTTTTAAGTATTACAAATAACCCAGAGATGCACCACGATTACAGGGTACGCTGTAAAGGGGTCTTGGAACCAATTACCCAAACATAATAAAGAACAAGTATGTAACAGAACTCTTGGTCAATAATCAAATGTCTGGCTACTTCAACTTCCTGAGAAAGCTATAACTACAGTGGTAAGATTATCCCCAAAAGGACACAGCCAGGAAGTGAAAAAGGTAAAATAATAATAATAATAATGGAAATAAAATAAGGGAAAGTGGGAATTACTAGTTTTCTGTTGAAGAAATTTTCTAAGACGTCACCACAGAGCTGTAACTTAAAAGAACGGCCAAGTGAGTTGCTATTAATGCAGGGGTACAAACCCTGGCTTTGGGAATATCCAGAGTTCGGTTCTGATCTACCCATTACTTTTTCTTGCTCTCTTTCAAGCAGAAGGAAATCACCTGCTAACCTGGATTAATGGGAGTTCACATCAAAGCCACAGCCTGACTGGTGGGCAGACTGAGGTGACATACTTAAGAGCCATTAGACTACTCATCAGTGAAAAAGTAAAATCCACGCTAGGGTCCCACCCTGTGGCGAGAGATGAGATATAACATAAAAATGGGGTCCTTAATTTCTAACACACTTAATACATCACCATCTGCCTCCCAATAGACCTGCCTTTACAGGTCGAAGCAACAACACGCAAGGAGCTGGAGCTATTACAGGTACACGGGCCCAAGGACCAACTGTGCGAAGCGGCATCAAGAGGCTGGCGCTTTGGAAGGCCCAGGAGGGGCTCAGAGGACAACAATCTTGTGATCATTGTCAACACAGACTTCCATCATCCAGAATTAGGAGCTTCTGTGGAAGTCAAAAAGTAACAAAATAAACAACAAAAGAAACCTGAAGAAATAGATCAGTAGAGGATACCAACAATGCACCAAGTACGCGACGGGTGGAGTGACATAAATCTATCAGCAATTAAATAACTTTTCTCTTTTGCTATATCATTAAAACAAAAACTCTTCCAGAAACGGGGTGGGAGAGGGTCGGGAAGAGCTCTGCTTGCTGGTAAGTGTGATGTTCTGCCCCCACAGCTCACCCAGGAAGGACTGAAGTCACTGACAAACAGCAGATTCAAACAAACCTGCATTCTGCAAGGCAAATAGGCCACAAATACGTAGAAAAGCAAACTTCCCCTAAAAGAACACAGCTTCATATCCCATTTTCCAGGGAAATTGACAGTTGTTTTTTTCTTAAAGAAGAAATACTGAAATGCCCCTACTATACCTACCTCACAATACTTATCTACAATGCAAAATGCAAATGTGATCTAGTAGAAGAATTAAGAATGTATCTAGGGCTGGGAAGGTGGCTCAGTAGTACAGCGCTTGCCTTTCATGCCTGAGGCCCTGGGTTCAATTCCTCAGCACCACATAAGAAAAAAGAAAAAAGCTGGAAGTGGCGCTGTGGCTCAAGTGGTAGAGAGCTAGCCTTGAGCTGAAGAGCTGAGGGACAGCGCCCAGGCCCAGAGTTCAGGCCCCATGAAAGGGAGGGAGGGAGAGAAGGGGAGGGGGGAGGTAGAAATCACCGCCTTTTCTCCATCTGAAAAGCCCCCAAAGGTTCAGGTGCTTTGGGGATGTGTTTAGCTCACTAAACCACTGATGAGTCAAATACTCTCTCTATACTGCATAAAGTGATAATTTTGGTACAAGATAAAACAGCTGTATTGAACAGATGAGTTTCTAATAAGGTTGGCAGAAATTTTACTGTTAGATTGATTACAGGGTATATTCCTGTCTGATTTTCCTTCAATTAGACACAGTAATAAATATGAATCCCAATCACTGTCTGAACATGAAAAGTGAGCGGATGACGCAGTATACTCCGGCACAGCACTGCTTTCTACATACACAACAGATGCCCCAGAATCTTAATTTACAAGACTGTGCTAGTTAGTTACTTTTTAAATCTGCTAGCAAGACTTTTTTATACAAAGTTCGGACTTTCACAAACAGACCGAAAAACAATTTATAACTTGGTAAACTTTAAAACAATTAACTACTTAAGTATCTTTCAATTGTGCTTTAAAGTTAGTGCTCCTCTTACCATCAAAATTAAGCTACAAGCTGAGCACTGAAGGCTCAAACCTGTAGTTTGAAGCCAGCGAAAGCAGGAAAGTCTTGCTAGAGGCATGGCTGAGTGGTGGCGTGCCAGCTGCTAGTTGCTACCTGCTTGGTTCTGCTTGACATACTGTAATTTCTGGGGGATAGGGTTGAGCTGAGTGTCTTGGTCTATTCTAGAATCCACTCGCTTCTTGCTTCAGCCTTATAAGTGCTATGAGTACAGAAGTACACCACCATTCCCCAATACCTTTTTTTGAAGTTTTTAAACATCTAGATTCATAAAAAGAATAGACAAGGTGGCACCAGCAGCTCAAGTCTATAATCCTAATTACTCAGGAGACTGAAACCTGAGCATCACAGCTCAAACCCAACAGACAGGAAAGTTAGTGGGATTCTTATCTCTAACCACCAAAAAGCCAGAACTGGAGCTGTGGCTTGAGTGGTCAAGTGCTAACTTTGAGCAACAAAGCTCAGGGACAGCATCTAGTCCCCAACTTCAAGCCCCAAGATCTGCAAAAGGGGATGGGGAAGGACATATAGACAAAGACACTTTTAGAATTAATCTTAATCACAGTAACCGCTGACAGTCTCTTCGGTACAATCTCTTTGGGGTTGCATCTTTATGGCAAACTTTGCTTCAAAAACTTCAGAGGGGGGCTGGGAAGGTGGCTCAGTGGTAGAGCACTTGCCTTGCATGCATGAGGCCC